GGTCATGATGGCAAAAATGCTGTGAGGAGACAGAAATCCATTGTTTTAAACATAGCAATATAAACTTGTCAGCTATCAAATAGTGCAAACTTATTTAAACTTTGCCTTCTTGACTGACAACATATTAGGCATGGGAGTTGTCCGATCTGTGTCAGTAAAAATAAAGATGCATGTGCTTTTCAATACACTTTGAAATACCTTTGTGTGAACATAGGGTGTAGCCTGATGGATATCCAGAAGTCAGCTAAATCTAGCTTAACAACTCAATAGGGGCTACTTGATTATAAAATACAGCCTACATGAATACACTCCCTTGTCACACAGTGGACATCCAGCTGGCTCTCTAACGCAGCAGTGACTTGGAATGCATCTCAGGAATTAGCTCTCTGTAAGGCAAAAAATGAATGTGACCTAAATGTATTCCAGTTCCGTACTTCTTTCATACGTTGAGCAAGGCATGCTGGCTCTTGTCAGCTCTCAATTCTACTTCTTTGAAGTGAAAATGTGGTAGAAACCTATTGAAATATGTAGAAGTATTTTGGTTTTCAGTAATCTTGACTGTGTGAGCCTTGTCACTTGGGAGCATTTGCCATGTGACTCAGAAATAATGCTCAAGCTAATTGGCAGGCCAACCTGTAGCTTTCCTAAAGCATTGACAAATTTCATCTGTAGCAAATCCAACCACCAGGTCAATCCACTTTGCTCATTGACGCATGGTGGTACTCCTGTTTTACGTTTCTCTTCTGCTTTAGGCTACAAATCAACAGATGAATTTCCAAATATGCTGCTTTATAATCCCATGTGGTACAGCACATAGAAAACAAAAGGATCACAGATTATCTTGTGATCTCTGACAATGTAACATTTCTCTGGCTCTCTCCAGCTCCTTTCTGGCTTTGGCTACTAAACATCCTGCGATGTCTGGAGACACCATTTCTTTTCCTTCTGTAACATAATGCACCTATTCCGTGACTATGCACTTCACATACCTAATACTATTCGACTGCTGCTTTTTGTAAGTTAATAACCAGGCTCTGCATTGTCTTGCATCCGGTGAAAATAGCATCATTGACAGTGGGCAAAAAGCACTTTTCTTAAAAGGATTGAGACTCCTGACATTAATATGTGAAAGAAAAACTCTTCATCCTGTTGAATCTATACCCAGTAGGATCTTTTCTGTGGTTTCTGCACTGCTCCTTTGATGTGCAGTCTGTTTGACATTCCATAGCTATGCACTCCATCCTATCTGCCTTTGCTCACTAGATTAACAGAGTTCTGGGTTTCTTGATGTGTTGGTCGGGCACTGTGCTTCCAATCTTAGGTTCCACAGGAAGCAGTGCTGCTATTTCAGTTGTTGTTGTTCTTTTGTCTGAAACTCCAGTGAACTAATACCCAATTATTATGCTGGGGAAGGATAACATTTTTCTGGAGTTGCCATCCTTCAGATGAGATGGAGGAAGGATGATCTTGTGCTTAAGACACTGGACTGTCACACAGGAGATCTGAGTTCAGTTTGCAGCTCTGCCAGACTTTGTGTGACCTTGGGTTTATCCCTCTGCCTTAATCTGTTCCTTGACACTTAGGCCTGGTCTACACTAGGGCGGGGGATCGACCTAAGATACGCAACTTCAGCTACGAGAATAGTGTAGCTGAAGTTGACGTATCTTAGTTCGACTTACCTCGCATCCTCACGGCGCGGGGTCGATTGCCGTGGCTCCTCCGTCAACTTTGCTTCCGCGTCTCGCCGAGCTGGAGTTCAGCAGTCGACGGGAGAGCGATTGGGGATTGATTTATCGCGTGTAGTATAGACGCGATAAATCAATCCCCGATAGATCGATCGCTACCCGCCAATCCAGCGGGTAGTGTAGCTGTATCCTTACTGTCTGTGCTCTGCCCCCTATCTGTAAAATGAGGATAATATTCAAATGCTGTAGTGATGGGGGCTGTATAAGGAGTCAGTATAAAATGGAGGTCTTGACCATTGGCGATCATTTACAAATCCTGCAATGCTTTTTTCAAGAGTTAGGTGTTTGACCCCGGGTTCTGACCAAATTCCAACTGTTAATTATATTATGCCTACTGAAGGTCCCTGCAGCTTTAATTAGATACAGTAGTCTTCACAACTTAGCCTAAGCTGTTAAACAGCTGCCACTCTTCACCCCAATGGGGATACCTTTCAGTGGCAGATAAAATGATTCCAATGTATAGTATAGCGTGTACATCAATTTGTTAGATTTGCCAAGCACTTTAGGATCCTTTGGGATGAAAGGTGCTATTTTAATATAAAATTCCATTATACATTTTAAATCAGTGTGTTCTATTTTCCAAAAATTCATACTTTCTCTCCGTATTTTGTGTGCCATCCAGGCCTTTATTCTTTTATTTTTTAAATATCTGTTTAGTTTGGTTAATCCCTTAAATTGGGGAAGCAGCATCTTGACCCACATTTATCATTTCACCTCCTTCACTTTGAAGAACCTCCTATGGGAACTCCTCTGCCTGTTGCTGTTTTATCCTGTCTGCTGCTAGTCTAACACATATGGGTGGTTTTGCCCTTCCCCTTTCTGGGGCCACGTTGCTGGATAATCTTCAGTGGTCTTGTGTGCTGGCTCATCAGAGCACCGGAGTCAGTGCTGTGTCTAAAACCCATCCTCGCACATTTCCCCCCAGTCCCAACCAGACTTGTGGGGATTATTATTATTATTCATTTGTTATTTATTGGTGGTTAAAACAACCTATTGGTGTGTTGCCTGGGGCCTCTTTCAGCCATCGTTTTCTCATGAAATGCTCCTCTTTTCTGACGTCACTGTGTGGCCAGAGAAACCTACTCAATTTTTTCCATTTGCTAGATGCTAACTTCAATGGGGATACACAAGCATGTGCTGAACTTTAAGTGTATGAGTGCTTTCTTATATCGGAGTCAGATTGCTCAGTGCTTGTAGGACTGAGCCCAAGTACTGTCTGGTTGCATTAGCTAGAGGAAAATCACCAGACCACCTTATGTCCCAGACTTTGTTAGAGAACCAACCCAAACCTTCACCAAAACTCAGTCTGAACCCAAATTAGTTCCTGAGGTTTGAAAGTTATTTTGTTTCCATGCTGAGACCTGAAGAAGAGCTCCGTGGAACTTGAAAGCTTGTCTCTTTCACCAACAGAAGTTAATCCAAAAAAAATATTACCTCACCCACCTAGTCTCTCTCACTTTGTTGAACTTTCAGCTGACTCTTTCTTTCCTGGTTTCTGTTGAACTACCACACAATAAAACCATTTTCTCTGGGGATTCCAAACCCAGCCCAAACCAGGAAATGTGCTATGATCATTAGATTTTCCACTCCTAATCTGCAAAGCAAAGAGGTTTGGATAACCATCAAGAGGCAGATCATGGAGATCAAATGGACAAGTAGAGTGAAGAAATAAAGCATCAGGAAGATGACGAGGCAGAGCTGGCTGTAAGAAATAGCTGCAAATACAAAGCCTCCATTTCATGTGCCATCTTCAGGATAGAGAAGCAGAAGCTGCCAAGCGAAATAAATGAGTTGAAACAAGATGGTTCAATAGTGCATGAAAGGTGATAGGCTCAGATTATTAAATGCTGTAACTTTGTGTTGATAGTAGTTAGGGCTGTCAAACGATTAAAAAAATCGCTTTTAATCACAAGATTTTAAAAAGTTACAATTAATTGCAGTTTTAATCACACTTAATGATAGAACACCAATTTAAACTTCTTATAAATATTTTTATTTTTTACATTTTCAAATATATTGATTTCAATTACAACACAGAATACAGTGTATAGTGCTCACTTTATATTATTTTTATTACAAATATTTGCACTATAAAAATATAAAAGAAATTGTATTTTTCAATTCATCTTATACAAGTACTGTAGGGTAATCTTTATCATGAAAGTGCAACTTACAAATGTAGAATTTTTTTAACATAACTGCACTCAAAACCAAAACAATCTAAAATGTTGGAGCCTACAAGGCGAAGCATGAAGGGGTGTGTGAATGTTTAGCATATCTGGCACGTAAATACTTTGCAATGACAGCTACAACAGTACCATGCAAACGCCTGTTTTCACTTTCAGGTGACATAGACAAGAAGGCAGGCAGTATTATCTCTTGTTAATGTAAAAAAACTTTTTTGTCTTAGCGATCAGCTGAACAAGGAGGAGGACTGAGTGGACTTGTATGGGTGCAAATATTTGTAATAAAAAATAATATAGAGTGAACACTGTATACTTTGTGAAAATGTAGAAAAACATCCAAAATTATCTATAATAAAATTAAATCGGTATTTTATTATTGTTTCAGTGTGATTAAAACTACGATTAATTGACTATTTTTTTAATCTAATTTAATTTGTTTTGTTAATCGCATGCATTAACTACAATTAATTGACATCTCTATTAGTATTTTAAACATTTCACGTATACTTATGTCTGTATATTTCCTAGGTACATTTGGTGAATTTGATTTTTGCAAATTAATTTGACTGCATACTGCAGAATGTTTTTCTGTTTCCAGCAAAATATATTGTAAAGATTTTTGGTTTTGTGACAGTAAAATACAATCACATAAAGAGAAGCTTTTTATTACTAAACACTGTCAGTGTGCTTGCCTATATTTATCTTCATACACCTAACATACATTTGTGATATTAATAAATGTTGTGACCAGAGCAAACCCTCACCTTGCAAATTTAAATATCAAAATATATTTGGTTCTACTATATTTTTGTCATTTATAAAAACTCTATATCTTCTCTAGGATTCTAAAACATTAAATGACTTTTAACTGAATTCCCATTACCTTTATATCATTATATGCAGAGCAGGTAACACCACTTATTATTAGGTTGCCTAATACTTCCCATTTGAAAATCCTGTTTTCAGTTGCTTGTTATAACTTTGCCAAACTTTAACCATTCAGGCTAAATTTTTGCATGCTAGTTGTCAGCTTGACTGTTTCTTTTCTTTTTTTTTTTTTTAAATGCAGATGAGGCGCTGGGTGGGAATGGACTGGCTGGAAAAGAAGCCTGGAACTGAGAACAAGTGAGGAAGCGGGAAGGAGAGACAGACATCTGATGAGGAGCCAGAGTGTGCTGGAAGAACTGGGACTGGCTGGAGGTAAAAAGACTGGGGCAAGTCACTTAAACCAAGCTTTTCTCAGGTGGTCAGTAATGGTGTGTTCCTCATTTTCTGGGTACCTGACTTGAGATCCTAAGGTCAGTTTTGCAAAAGGGCTGAAGAATCATAGCTGCAACTGAAGTCAATGAGACGTGCTTTGAACATATAGAATACTATGTAATGCTAAGTACTCTGAAAAATCAGGTCCTTGGTTTCTCAAATTGGGTAAACAAAATTAGTGGATACTTTTGACCTTCTGTTCTCTATGCCTTCATTCCTATCTTTATCATGAGGGTATTAATACGCCCTCACCTCGCAGGGGTATTGTGAAAATAAGTTCATTAGTATTTGTGAAGTACTCAAATGCTATAATGATCAGCATAGAAAAACCCATGAAGAAATTATTAGTTCCGTCTTCAGGGCAGGGTTTGAGTAGAATGCAATAAATAAAGCATGGGGCTACATCCTGAAGAACGAGAATAAAGCAAAATATTGAATAGCTGCTCTTTAACTGAGCGCCATCCATCCTGTGCACTAAATGAGGTAGAGCTCTTCTGCAAAATATAGTATGTGATCATGTAATTAAAAACTATATCCTAGTGTATATGCACAAGGGGCCAAATAAAGTAGGCACAGGAACCTTAATTCTGGCATTTCCTGATTTCTAAGTGCTTGTTAATTTTCTTTTAATATAGGGTTTTTGTGTGTAATATAAATTATGTTTATCTTAGAGACTGGATAATCTAAACTTGGATGATAAAATAACTTGATGACACTCTGGTGTACACTTTGATGTAGTTTTAGGTGCTAACAACAATGTGATTATTTCATCCAACTCCTGGAAACACTGTGCCCAAGTTTATGAAAGTCACTGAAAGATTTTGTCCATTTTCTCGTCATAACATCATGATGGTCTAAATTCTCTCAACTATACCTGGAGGATCTCTGCTGTGACATTCTGCCCTTTCTATGAGTCATTAACTCCCAGGGGGAAAGTAGGATATTGAATGCCAGGTTCACCACAGGCATCTGAGATGAGAAATTTACCCTTGATATAAAATAGATGAAACAGAGATATTTAAAAGAAATTTTTCTTGGCATTCAACATGTCATACACTTTGAAGTACCTGGAACAATTGCCCCTTACCGTAATGAAGAGTTATGACCTTAAAATGTGATTGTGGTTGGAAAATGGTTATATAAAACAGCGATAATTCTGCCCCTTAAGGGCCAGCACCAGGCTTAGGAAGCACTTAAACTCACTTAGAGGAACTTAAGTGATGTATAGGCTTTGTGGTGGCCTACTGCACATGGGTAAACTTCGCCAGTAAGTGTATTCCAGTAGGTGTCTACTGACCAACGTGAAGAGTACATTTTGCTATTCTTTACTCCTGCTAGCAATGCCGATCCAATACAGCTGAAAGAGTGAGTTGGATTATTTTTTCTGGACATATGTATCCTCAACAGATGTGTTAAATAGATTCCAGCATTGGAATCTTTATTATTCCTGGTGATGCTTAACTCAAAAGGAACAGAGTTTTGACTTTCATATTCCATGTTGAATTTGTAGAGCTGGCAGTTAAAAACTTAGCTGTTCCACTTGTCAGCTGAACCAACTTGATGTGCTTGTCATTAAGGACCCAAGAAAATTCCCACTCAAGTCAGTAGAAAAACTCCTATTAACTTGAATGGGATTTAGCTCAGGCCTTAAGGGACAAACATGGAACCCACTCAGTAACCCTTCTACGAGCTCCCTTTTCATGATATATCTCCACATCATCACCTCCTAACATCAGTAGTAGCTGATCTTTAAGGGTGGACAAACCTTCTGTTGTTGGTGAGAGTGAAATCCCCCCTGCCTCCTATCAACTAAAAAAACAAACCACGCAATGAAACTAATTTTGGAATTTGACATCCATTCTTTTCTCTGGGCCAAGGAAGTATCACGTAGCGTATTAATTTTAAGTGCTTTCCAGGTCTCTGTGGCATGTTTTGGGGAGGTTCCTAAGGAGGTTCCTGATACAATTAGAGCTCAGCAAAGGCTCCTTATACTGTGCACCTTGCATCAGAGCTGCATGTTGTTTCTTTTCCTGGCTCCAGGCTGAGAGCCACCTGACTGATGTATTTAGAACAAAAGGCTGAGGGTCATATTCTGCTGAGGGGAACTACTTAACACTTCACTGAACGACTTCCTGAGATGTGGCCAGATGGTCACTAGCACTATGGGAGACTTGTTGGAAGATTTTAGGCTATCTGGCTGAATGAATTCTTCATATTTGCTGGTGAATAAGCACCTAAAAGTGATTAATCCATCTGTGGATTAATTAGATTATATTCTCCCCCCACAGGATCACTGCTATTACCAGGTCTGTATTCAGATGATATTTTAAAATTCTAAAGCAGTCGTCTTGATCAGAGTATCCAGAGGCATTTGTTATCCAGCCTCTGTAGTTTGTACATGTTCTAATTAAATGTCACAGTGGCTTAAAAAGAAATCAATATTTATATTCCCTGAGAAAAAATATTGGTTGGAGTGTCCAGAATAGACCTTGTTCTCGCTCTAGTATATTCAGTTTACTAACTGGCCTTCCCACAAAAGATCATTTTAAAACTTTAGATTGTTTAGCTAGTGATTTAAATTAAGATTATAGTGGAGAGAAGTGATGAAAACCATTCTGTAAATTTCAGTTGTGTTAACTAACATCTCATCCACAGATTCATAATGTGTCCATTGCTACAATTTTAGGATGTCCATTCTTAATGCTGTATGCCCTAAAATCCTTCAGAAAGTCTCTCTCATTACAACTTAAAGTAGCTACATTAAGGACTCAGAACTTATCCACTGGAAAATTCAGAAGAGTATTTTCCTCCATATTTTTGTCAATGTTCCAAATTTGTCTTTTGTAAGAAAAATCTTACTGGTAACTTAATATTAATAAAGTTTTACTTCATTCCATCCTGAGTGGTCCCTTCTTAAAAATGACAATGAACAGACTTATATTTGTGCTAGTCTCAAATTTTTAATGATATATCTATGAGTAGTCAAATGCTTCATAATCGAGAGTCTGTCTATCTAGGTTTTTATATGCTCCCTCAGCACTGCAGTATTTGGAAATCAGTAAGCTCTTGGGTATGTCATCAGTGGCTTAACAGCATCTTGGGCCTTGAAGAAGGCCTCATACCACTTGGAGGGCTGGACAACTGAGTCTGAACATATGTGATTCATATCTTTTAACTCTGAGTAGAAAAAAGGCTCTGTAAGCATATGATAGCTATTGTCTCAAATGAAGAACTATATTAAAAGCAAAGGTAAATCAGTGTTGTTCTCAGTTCCCTGACACACTTTTCTATTTTAATTTTATTTTCCCATGTAACTGTGTGTGTGAGAGAGAGAGAGAGAGAGTGTGTTGTTTGTGTATATGTGTGAGCGGGTCCCATGGGAGCCAGCTGAGGTCACTCAATTAGGGTGAACTGCAAAAAATGGGGTAGACAACCCCAAAGCTCGTGGATATTCCAATACTTTGATTTACCAAGCCCAGCACTAAACACCTTCTGTTATACCTTACTGGTTACTCAGAAGTCCAAAACACAGTTCCCTTAAAGTAACCCAGCCTCAGGCCTCCACCTAGTTATTCAAGTCAGATTTGATGAGGACTAATGAAAATCTTATTTCATCATATAAAAAAGTTGTACCAATCCCAAAAGATCAGGCACATTACCTCCCAGGTTAATGAATATTCCAGATCTTACCCAAATACACACTTACAGCGAATTCTTATTAACAAAACTAAAATTTATTAAAAATGAAAAGAGAGAGAGACTATGGTAAAAAGATCAATATACATACAGACACGAGTTCAATTCTTGAGGTTCAGATTTATAGCAGAGATGGTGAGCTTTGTAGTTGCAAAGAGTTTGTTTAGAATTTAGTCCATAGGTTATAATCCAATGTCCAATATCATATTCAGGGCATGCCAGCATAACTGAGATCTCATCTTGCAACTCAAACTTCCCTGGATGAAGCTTAAGGAGATCTGAGATGACAGGATCAGTACCCAAGGATCTTTTATACAATTCCAGGCCTCCTTTGACAGGCCAGAGTGCCTTGGCTTACAATGGGTACTTTGAAGTAGGTCCATCACCGGTAATTAGCTACACGAAGTAACATAAGGCAATTAACTGTTTTTCCACCATTTGCAGATGATTGGCTATACATTTCAAAGAGAGATGAATACAGCGATATCCTGTTTTTACAGTTCATTTAAATACTAGGATGTTCTTTTGAACTCTGAATTAATAGAATACAGCATAGACAGGGACTGTTGATTACATTGTTGACCACTACCAATATATATGTAAATACACAAAAACACAAACATTATCTCCCGTATGTCTTTAAGGGGTGAATTTGAGTTATTCTTCCCACAGGGCGCTTAACCCTTTCTGGTCATGCGTCAAAATACGTAAAAATCATGTAGCTATATCTTCTTGACTGCAAAAGTTAGTATTCTCTCTCTCTGTCTCTCTCTCTCCCTCCCCCCCTTTTTTAAGGGTAAGGCTTCTCTCTTTCCTTACCATATTCCAGTCTGATAGAATTCAGTGGGTTAACTTGAATAGTGTTCTGCAGAAGTTGGTAGATGGAAGTTATGAAAAGTTAGTCAACAAAATGTTAACTCAAATGGCATCACTATGGGTGCATTCTGTTAGTCCTTGAGTATCTACTTTGTATAACTCATTTTCTGTTGACATGAATATGTCTAGCTTCTCCATGCTAACTAATATATATGCTATTACTTGTTCTTAAAGGATTTTAAATCATTAGATTCTGCAAGATAGATCAGTTTTTAAATCCTTAACTCTAGAATACGGTCTCTTGAAATGTGTTGGCATGATGAGGACCAGTAAAAGTTTAAATAGTTGTTGCTACTTCAACTAATCATTGTTTTGGTGGAATTTAATTATTGATCGCATTAGCCCATTGACTTCAATGGAAGACCATTA